AGGGCTTATTGTTGTGTCAGTGCTGCCAGAAGGTGAGCTCCGCGGCGGCCCCGGCGGCGGATTGCCATTCAGGGCGTTCAGCACCTGTCCCCGCGGCGCGAGCTCTGAAGCCATTGCATGGCGCAGGTGTCCGCGGTTGACCTTCGCGGTCGTAGAGCAGTGGCTGACCCGGACTTTGGCGGCACCTTCGAAACCGATGATGACGCCGGGCCCATGCCGCTGCAGCGCCCACTCACGCGCGGGTTTGCCGTTGCCTCTCCAGTCGAACACCTGGTCGCCTGCCCGGTAAACGTCGGTGGCGCGCCGCGCCCCATCAGCCCGGGGCCGGGCCAGCAGCGCCCTTGAAAGGGGCCGGTTGAACCGAAGCTGCTGGATGGAAGTCTGGGCGGCCTTCGCGATGGCAACTCTCCCGGGGAACGGCTCGTCGGACACGATGCGCTCGCGCGGAGCAAGTCTGCATTGCCCAGCAAAACGCATGGCACTGGAGGTCCTCGCCCGAGTACCCATTGAAAGGGCGAGTGGCTGGACGCGCTCACCTGGCCATTCATGGCCCAGCACGCCGATGAGAGCAGCCACTGGACGCGATGAGCTGTCTCGGGCTGGCCGAACTTGATGCTGAACTGGTCGATCAACGCCCTGGCATGGACCTTCCACAGACCTCCGCGTCGCTCCGCGGTGGCGCTCCGCTGCGGCGCAGCCGCGGCGGTAATTATCAGGCGGTCGCCCATGTCCCCGAGCTCCGTGGAACACTCTCGCTCGAACTCACCTCCTCAATCAAAGATGACGCGTTGAGGCGCGCCAAAAGGTGCAATCCAGATCCGCGGCAGTCGAGCGAGAACAGCCGCGGTGCGCCTCGAGGGGGCGGCGCCGCGCGCGGTAAAATCTGAAGCCCGGTCGACCACATTGAGGGGTATCAGCTGGTTGCCGGCGATATCGGCAAGGGTAAAGAGGCCCACTCAGATGGAATCGTTGAAAGTCGGGGTCCAGATTGATCCCCCAAGGTAAGTGGGGTAGTGGTCGCTGATGTGCGGAGCAGACCTCGCCCTGCAAGTTTAGGCCATCGCGACCGCTCTCTGCGGTCCGCCTGCGACTCGGATCGCCCCGGCCAGCGAGTCGTTGGACGGGTGCCCAGCGTCGCGTGGAGCTACGTCGCCGCGGATCGGAATTTTCGCTCCTCCGCGGCTGTCAGCGCGAGCTCCTGAAGAGCGGCCTCAGCTGGAACCGCCCTCGTCGCCCTCCGGGTTGGGCGTGCCTCTCGTGGAAGTCGATTTGGTCGTCGTAGCTGGCCGGCCAAAACCTTCACCAAATTGCGCGCGTATTTCTCGCTGCGCTTAGCGTCCTGACCGCGCGCTTCAGCGCGGGGGTGCGACTTGTCGCTCGGAACATCCCCCAAGGCTTCTTGATGTGGATCCCCTGCTTCGCCTTAAAGTCGAACGCGCAGCCGTCGGAATCGAAAACAAGCGGCAGCTGCCCCTTCAGCATCCTCGCGGTCGCGCTCATGTTGGGGCCCCATCCGTCGCAATGTCTCGGCCGCTCGAATGAGACGGCAAACTGCCTGCCGAACTCCGCGCGTAGCCGGGACATCGACTGCTGTTGCAGGCCCTGCTGGAGCTTTGACGGCTGCTCCCTCTCCTCCGTTCGTCGCCCAGATGGCGCTGAGCTTGCTGTTCGGGTTGCAGCGCCACTCGTAGAGCACTGCGTCGCTCGTGGCGTTGATCGCCTTGAATCTCGCAGTGGACTCGGCCATGTCAACGACCAGAGCCTGGCTGACTTGGCACGGTCAAACGCCGCTCTCATTGACAACGAAAGCCGCGCGCTTGCCTGCAATTCGCATTCCCCCCCTCCTTCAAGTCCCTAACCGCAGGCGGCTCCTCCTCCGCGGCATTGACCTCTTTTAGGCTGGCATCCTCGGCGCAGTCACCCCGGGCCAGGGAGGTGCCGAACGCGCGCCCCGGGCAGAAGCCCACGCGGCTGCAGCCCCCACGGGGCTTCTCTACTCGGCAACATTCGTCGCAGGGTGGAGCGGCGGAGGCCATGTCGCCGTAGAGCAGCGCGCCAATGCTGACGCCGCAGCCGGCGCAAGCTTGGGCCCTTTCAGTCGGCGAGGCTGCAGGCGTCTAGACACGTTCAGCTCCTTCTCGTTTACGGGCTCGCTGAAAGACTCCGCGGCGCTATCCGCCGTGGCCCTCCCAGCTAGTCTGGTTGGGATCTCTGCGCCAGCGCCCTCGATCGCGCGCCGGCCCTCGGGCAGCAGACTAATCGCGGGGTGGCCCGCGCAGCTCGCGAAGAACTGGTTTGGCAACGTGTCCGATGCGATCTGCGCCGTCCGGAGGGAGATGTCGATCTTGGGGGGGGGGGGGGGGGCGAAATCTCGCCCGACGAGAAGACCTAGCGCGGGACTATATGGATGTGGCGCGCAACGCCAGGCAGCTGAGACCCGCTCCAAGCTACCTCTGTGATATGGAATGGCGCGCAACACCGATGGCTTCGTCGAGAGCGAGCGCGGCTCGAGCGATCCGCGCAGCTCCTCTGCCACAGGCCCTGAAATAGACAAAGCAAAAATGATAGCGGGAGGGCGGGACACGAGCAGCACGCGCAGACAGCAGAAAAATAAGCGGAACATTGACGGAAAGGCGATCGACATGCCATCGAAGCGACCGAAACCACACATGCAACACGCGGGAAACACTTTCGCTTCCGCGGCGTTGACATGCGGCACCCCTCCCAACGGGCAGGCCAGAGCAAAGTGCCCGCCAGGTCATTGACGATCTAATGGGCGACTACGGCCATTGCGCTGCCCCCCGCCTTGATCACTCCAGGGGGAAGTCCGTCAGGTCTCCGGACTGTTTCAGCGCCGACCGCCCGTATCTTCGCAACGACTTTCGAGAAGGTCGGGCTGGGGGTGCCCCTCGCGCACGGCCCCGGATGCTCTGCCACCGTGTCCTTCCACGACGGGAGTGTGCACCTGGCGATGAGCTCGGTGGAGCGCTCAATCGGCCTGTCCGCGCGCTCCTCTGGAGTCTTCGCAAGTGAACTGTCTTTGTTGGCGATCGCCTCAATGGACCAGTGTTCATAGCCACCCAGGGGGCCCGCGATGCGGCGCGACTCCTTGCTGTCATTGCGCTCATTCGCGCATGGCGACCTCCACGCCATGTGGTGCAGGAGTTGTCGTCTGTCCCCCATGACCATGCCGCGCAAGGCACGATGGGCCTGGCTGAGACCCTGCCAGCACTGCTGGGCAACGAGGTTGAGCCGGGCAGCAGTGCGCCGCAAAGCTGGAACCTTTGCGCGGCCTCGCCATCCCATGAAGTCTGCTCGGCAAGTGCAGAACATTGACCAAACCACCCACCGACTCCGTGACAGTTGCACGTGCCTTGCTGGCCGAGTTCAGCGCAGAAGCTCCCCGCAGCTTTGATGGGACTGCTTGTGGGGGCCCAGTGAAAAAAGGAGCCCCGTGGCAGACCATCCTCCCAAAGCCGCGCATCACGATATACACAGAAGGTAAAAACAAACCAGCAAACCAGTCGCGTAATTACAGGCAGCGCGTGTCGCTAACTGCCACGTGCCCCAAAACAGGGCAGGGTTCGACAGTTGGCAGCCGTGGGTGCTACCCTCACCGACTACAGAACTCAATGTAATCAGATGTTGTGTATGTATTTGCATACACACATGTGCCCCGCTACCCGCTGGCATGTCCACAGGGCTTCTGCGATCCAAGGTTTAGCCACATCATCGGAACGATCTCCTGCTCCGACGTGCACGGAATTCCGTTCGCACGGCATGCTGGGATGCGAGGCCGAGCGGCTCACCTCGGCGAGCCAATCGGGCCCCGCTCACCTCAAGCTATGAACTTTTTCGAGAAAAAAAAAACAACCCCCGTTCTTAAATTTGCACACGCAGATGTATACAGATGCGTGCATCTGCCTATCTACGTGCGTAGATGTATATACATCCGCCATCGAGTCTCGAGGCACGAGGTGGAGTGTCCCCAGGCCCCCTTTTCCGAGGAATTCTGCAATGGGCTCGCAACTTTGCAGTCTGGGCGCGGCCAAGCGCTCTCGTTTCTGGTCGCGTGACTGCCACAAGGAGCCAGGAGGGCCCCACAACGAGCCTAGCGAGCCCCAAGACACCCCAAACACGGTCCAAAAGGCCCCTGTGTCGGCCGAAGATCGCTCCGACTCGTCCAAGATGGTCCAAAAAATACCCACGTCGCCCGAAGATCGTTCCAGACGGGCGAATCCGCAACCAAAACGCTCCCAAGTGAAGCCCCCCAGGAGGGACTCCTAGAGGGCCAAGAGAGGCTCCAATCATCATTCACCGATTGGCTTCTGAAAGGTTTTAGCGTACTTACATTATCGGGCTTTCGATGTCCCAGAGCGGCTCAGGAGGCTTAAAAGACCCTGGCCCCATGACGGCCCACTAGGCCCCCAAGACGGCCCCGAGAGTCCCCGAACAGGTGGAACTCGAACTGACATGCCAGGCCCTCCGCCCGGCCCCCGAGGGGCCCCCAAAAATCAAACCACAGGAGGCCTTGAGGAAGCCAAACCAAACCCGCGGGAGGCTTCTCGCGAACGCCTCGTGCGGTGGGTGGGCGTGCCGAAGCTTTTGCCCCGTGCCCGCGCGTGGGTGCCGTGTGGGTGCCACGTGGCCGACGTTCCGCTTGGTGCCCGGCCCTCGGCGTCTCGTGGGCGCCTCGTGCGTTGGGTGGCCGCATCTATTCCGCTCAATAGTTGTTGCCGCATAGCTGGCACCACATGGCTTGCAACTCACAGCCTACACCACATACATTACACCATGCGGCTTGCACCACACAGCGTGTACCACATATATATTTGCACCTCGCAAACCACACCACATAGCTTGCACCACATGCCTTGCACAGCATGCTTGAATACTGGGCCACGCAGCATGCACCATGCAGCTTAGGTGTTCGGCAGTACACTAATTTACAGTCTGGGAACCATAGTTGCATACACATGTTTGGTTGCAGCTACTTGTAAGTCAGCGGACGCAAGGGTGCGGAAGCGGTTAGGCGCTGATCGGTCTAGGGGCGGGGCGCGCCGAAACAAATTGGGGCACAACGGAAAAGTCTGTATACACACATACAGCATACACATATGCACATAATGTGGTTCCTCGCCCATCACGGATGGCATGCGCGCGCAAGCCCCGCGGCCCGCGGGCGAGTGGCGCGGGCCCGCGGCCCGCGCGAGAGCCGCACGGGCCTCACTGCGCGCCCCGGCTGGGACCCTCCGAGACGGCGGCGCGCGCCGCCTCGGCTGCCTGAGGGAGGGTCAGGTCTCCTCCTGCTCCTTCCCCTCCCCCTCCTCCCCTTCCGCGCTCTCCTCCCGGCTGCGTTCGAGCAGGCGGTTCTGGAGCATGAAAAGGGGCGGGGACGAAACACCCTGGGCCTACGCCCTTCCCGCGTTATTTATCAAGGATCCGAGATAGGGGACACATTGTCCTGGAGCGGCACGCGCGAAACGCAAATTTCTAACATGATCGAGCCACGAACCCGGAAAGGAGTATGGATATGTAAAGCATGGCACCCTTTCAAAGACACCTGATTGGGCGACGGGCAAATGCAATGCTGAATGCATCGATCTTGATCTTCCGTGCCGAGGGCTGCGTTGTGCTGCGCCGTGCCGAATTGCGGTTTGCCATGCCGCGTTTGTGCACTATAGCGTTGAGGATCGAGTCCTCCTTTGTATCCGAGTCCTGACCGAAGTGATCTGTATCTTAAGCTCGAGCTGCCTGAGCACATAGTAGCTGCCCCAGAGCTAATCGACAGGGGGACATGCTAGAAGGACGCGCCGCCGCGAACGTCCCAAGGGACCCGCCAGCGACGTGCCAAGGGACGTGCCAAGGGACGTGCCATGGGGACGCACTGCGGGACGTGCCAAAGGGACGCGCTACGGAACGTGCCAATGGACGTGCCACGGGACGTGCCAAGGGACGCGCCGCGCGACGTGCCAAGGGGACTCGCCACGGGTCGCGCCACGGAACGTGCCAAGGAACGTGCCAAATTGTAATGCTGAATGTATCGATCTTGATGTACCGTGCCGAAAACTGTGCTGTGCTGCGCCGTGCTGGATTGCGATGTGCCATGCCGCGATTGTGCTCTGTAGCGTTGTGGATCGAGTCCTCCTTTGCATCCGAGTCCTGACCGAACTGATCTGGATCTTAAGCTCGAGCTGCATGAGCACATAATAGCTGCCCCAGAGCTAATCGACAGGGGGGCATGCCAAGAGGACGTGCCGCGGAACGTCCCGAAGGACGCGTCAAGCGACGTGCCAGGAGACGTGCCATGGGGACGCACCGCGGGACGTGCCAAGTGGACTCGCTACGGAATGTGCCAGTGGACGTGCCACGGAACGTCCCAGGGGACGCGCCGCGCGACGTGCCAGGGGGACTCGCCACGAGACGCGCAACGGAACGTGCCAGGGAACGTGCCTGCCAAATTGCAATCCAGAATGTATCGATCTTGGTGTACCGTGCCGAAGGCTGTGCCGGGGCATCCTGGGGCCTCCTGGGGCGTTAGGAGCCCATGCGTTTTCACGCTTCTCGCGCCCTGGGGCGTTAGGAACCCACATGTTTTCATAGTTGCCCCGCCCTGGGGCGTTAGGAGCCCATGCGTTTTCACGCTTCTCCCGCCCTGGGGCGTTAGGAACCCATGTGTTTTCACGCTTTTGTCGCCCTGGGGCGTTAGGGACCTATGTGTGTTCACGCTTCTCGGGCCTCCTGGGGCGTCCTGGGGTGCGGGGAGAAGCGAGAAGCATCCCCCGAATCCATATCCCAATACAGAACATACGTAAAACATTTAACCTGAGACATCCTCTGAATTCTGGTCGCCAGGAGAGGAACAATCTATGACACAAACAAAGGTTTCGCTCGAATCATCTTCAACATGTTGCTTAAACCGTTTCGCTCGGGACATCCTCAACATCATGTTAGATATCCCCCATGTGTGGCCTGGGCACGTGAGATATCCCCCTGGGTGGTCTGGACACGTGAAGACACGTGGTTCCAGCTCGGGACCACAATGTTAGATATCCCCCTGGGTGACCTGGACACGCGAAAACCCATGGTTCCAGCTCGAGACCACCATGTTAAATACCCGCGTGTGTGGCATGCACACGTAACATAATCGACCCACGAACCCGGAAAGGAATATAGAAATGAGAAGCATGGAACCGCTTCAGGGCACCCAATTGGTCGACGGGCAATTGCAATGCTCAATGTGACGATGCTGTACAGTGCCACAGGCTGTGCTGTGCTGTGCCATGCTGTGCCGAGTTGAAATGTGTGGTGTCGTTGTGAACTACGCTGTGCGCTATTTCATTGTGGATCAAGTCGTCCTTGGCGTCCGACTCCTGGCCGAACTGATCTGGATCTTGACCTCGAGCTGCCTGAACGCATAGCTCGCCCAGAACTGGTTGCAATCGAAACGTGCGGGGCGCTGAACCAGCTCGAAGCATGCGAAGTCCGCGCTGGTTCGCTCACATTGTCGAACCACTACCTGCCTTGTGGTGCCGAGCCATGCTGCGATGTGATCCACTAAGGGGGCGATCCGCGGGTCGCGCCACGGGGCGTGCCACGCGACGTACCAAAGAAAACGCCACGGACGTGCCGCGGGACGCGCCAGAGGGACACGCCAGGGGAACACCATGGGACGTGGCAAGGGACGCGCTAGCGGAGGATGCGCCGGGTAACGTCCCAGGGGGAGGGGGTCTCAGGGGGCGCGCCAGGGGGTACGCACAGTGGCGTACCAAGGAACGCGCCAGGGGACGTGCCAGGGGACGCGCCGCGCGACGTGCCAGGGGGACGCGCCGCAGAACGTTCCAAAAAACGTGCGACGTGCCAGAGGGACGCGCCAGGGAAAGTGCCAATGGACGCGCCAGGGGACGCGCCGCACGAAATGCCAGGGGGACGCGCCACGGGACGCGCCACGGAACGTGCCAGGGAACGTGCGAGGCGACATGCAAGGGGGCGTACGCGTGCTTTGAGCTCGGGACAACCAAATTAGATACTCTCCTGTGTGGGACGTGGTTTCAGCTAGGGACCGCCATGTTGGATACTCCCTTGGTGGCGTGGACACGTGCAAGCACGCGGTTCCAACGCGGGACCACCATGTTAGATACCCACCTGGGTGTCGTGAACACGTGAAAACACTTGGTTCCAGCTCGGGACCACCATGCTAGATACCCACCTGGGTGGCCTGCACACGTGAAAACACGTGGTTCCAACGCGGGACGACCATTTTCTATACCCCCATGGGTGGCTTGGACACGTAAAAACAAGCGGCTCCAGCTCAGGACCACAATGTTAGATAACCCCCCTGGGTGGCTTGGACACGTAAAAACAAGCGGCTCCAGCTCAGGACCACAATGTTAGATACCCCCCTGGGTGGCGTGGACACATGAAAACACGCGGTTCCAGCGCGGGGCCACCATGTTAGATACACCCTCTGGGCGACCTGGGCAAGTGAAAACACGTGGTTCCAGCGCGGGACCACCATTTTAGACATCCCCTGGGTGGCCTCGACAAGTGAAACACGTGGTTCCAACTAGCTCGGGACCACCATGTTCGATACCCACCTTGGTGGCCTGGGACCACGATGTTAGATACCTCCTGGGTGGCCTTTTCTGTGAATTGGTCGGGTCGGGTCTCCAGACCTCGTTATTTCTGGTGGATTCCGCGCACAACGCGCCACACCCTCTTTTTTACGAAAGAAAACCGTGGACTGCGGACCCTGTAATTTATCGAGGATCCGAGTTGGGGGCAAATTTTCCCTGAGCGGGAAGCGAAAAACGCATATGTTCAACTGCAAATTCACACTTCACCTTGTAATTTATCGCAAAACAATTCCGCCGGCCTACCTCCCGTCGGGGCCGGGGGGTAAACCAACTAAAAGAGAGAACCCTGGGCCGGAGCCCTTTTCGGGAACAAATTCGTGATTCCATCGTGGGACCACCATGTTAGATACCCCCGTGGGTGGCCTGGATACACTGAATTCGCGATCCCGCTCGAGACATCCTCGCAATGTCTTCCCCGGACAGGCCCCCAAAGCGCCACCCCCTGTCCTGAACAAGAAAACATGATTTTTCTACGTTCGGATCTGTGTTCGGGTAGCGCTTTTCGACCCCCCGTTGGTTTCCTGATAATCCGGCGTTGGGCCCGACGCCATGTTAGATACCCCCTTGGGCGGCCTGGACACGGAACATGATCGACCCACGAACCAGGGAAGGAATCTAGACATGTAATGCATGGTAACGTTTTCAAAGACACCTGATTGGGTGACGGGCAAACGCAATGCTGAGTGTATCGCTCTTGATGTATCGTGCCGAGGGCTGTGCTGTGCTGCGCCGTGCTGAATTGCGATGTGCCATGCCGCGCTTGTGCACTATAGCGTCGTGGATCGAGTCCTCCTTTGCATCCGAGCCCTGACCGAACTGATCTGGATGTTAAGCTCGAGCTGCCTGAACTCATAGCAGCTGCCCCATAGCTAATCGACAGGGAGACATGTCAGGAGGGCGCGCCGCGAAACGTCCCAAGGAACGCGCAAGGCGACGTGCCAGGGGACGTGCCACGGGGTCGCACCGCGGGACGTGCCAAGGGGACGCGGTACGGAACGTGCTGAGGGCAAGCGCTTCGCTCCAGACATCCTGTCAAAATCCTCATGCTAGACATCCGCCTGAGCGACCAGGACACGTGAAAAGAAGCGTTTCAGCACGATTGTCGGGGCCCACCCTAGGACAGGTTACCACTGACGGGGATGCACTTTTTGCTGCCGCTCAGGTGTTACCAAACAACACTCTTCTTGCACGTGTGTCTAGCCTGGCCCCTGCATCTGATGCAGGGGCCTCCAAATCTCCACTCTCCTGAAACTGAAACTCGAATGCTTCAAATGGACTGAACTGCTGGGCTGGCTGGCTCAAGAACGCGAGGGAGGGGCGAGGAGACGGGAGCACGGAAAACATAAAAAAGGTCAGGCTGCGCCCGGCGACGCGGGAGGGGCGCGCTTGAGCATACGAGGCGGCGGTGCTCTCTATGCCCCCTCCCTATGCCCCAACGTGCTCACCGAAAACTACCATTCACGAGCCCATCAAACCATTTCAGCACTATTGTCGGGGCCCACCCTAGGACAGGTTATCACTGACGGGGATGCACTTCTTGCTGCCGCTCAGGTGTTACCAAACAACACTCTTCTTGCACGTGTGTCTAGCCTGGCCCCTGCATCTGATGCAGGGATGCTGGGGCCCCCAAATCTCCACTCTCCTGAA